TATGAAAACAATAAAGGAAGAAGTTTTTTTTTTTAAAAGGAACATTTGCTACAATAACCTTAAAAATATTAGAAATAGCCAAAATAGCCTACTCAGATTTTTCAATTTTTTAAAAAAGATGTCTTCCTGTATAACCCCTAATAATTTTTTTAACCTAACTAAAGTAATAAGAAAAACGTATTTAAAAACGAAATTTTTTTTTAAGTAAATCAAATAAGCAATAATAAAACAAATATTAAATACAAATCAATTATTTTCTTAAGAAGGAAACTTCTTTATTGTAAAAAATAAAATAATGTGAAGTCTATTAGTTTTTTGCAGACTTCAAGAGCCAATCAAGCAGACTTATATTAGGTATGTGGATATTCGGCAGATAGTCGTGAAGTCTATAGAACTTCGGTAGACTTCAATACTCAATTCTACAGACTTATATTTAATCCACAATTATTTGGCAGATTTTCGTAAAATCTATAAATTTTGGTAGACTTCAAAATCTGATAACGCAGAGTGATTACAAATCTGCAGACACTCGGCAGACTTTTGATTTCAGCAGACTTACCTAAAGTTTACAATTTTCTGACAGACTTCAAAATTCAAGCCAGCTGACTTACATTAGGTCTGCATATATTTGGTAGACTTGCATATAGTCCTTATGTTTTTGGCAGATTTGAAGATTCTATCCATGGACTTGCCTAAAGTCTGTTATATGAGATTTTCAAGTCTGCTAAACATAAGTTTACTAAACATAAGTCTACGAGATCGGCTATTTAAGTTTGTTAAAAAAATTACAAATAACCGTAGACAAAATATGTCTATGGAATCATAATCTAAAATTACTTATACACTTTATGCAAGTCTGCTGATAATTATAATTAGTTTTTATAAAACCATGTCTAATTAATCACACTAATATGTGTGTTGGTTATGTATATTGTTTGTTAGTTTAGCAGAAAATCTTAAAGTCCTGTACTGTTAAAATTCTAACATTTTTAATTATCCATGAAGGTTTGAGTGTATATTTATGGATCTTTGTGTTTTATTTTTTATTTTTTAAAAAAAAATATTAAAAAGCTTTTGATGGGTATAGAAGTTATTTTCCTAGTTCAATTTACAAAGCTTTTTTTTTTCAAAAAATGCTCCAAGCATGGACCTGATGTTAGTCATAACCAGCTTATGATATTTATCAGAGAAGTGATTCAAAAGAAAAATACTAAAATCATATTAGGATAAAAACTAATGATATATCAAATTTCATTTTTTTACTAATAAAATAAATGTTAATAAATAACTAATTTAACTGTAAAAAATAATTATTTAATAAAAACATTTTTGAAAACAAAATTATGAAAATAGAAAGGGTAGTTTTGAAATTATAGATTTATATAAAGAATTAGTAGGTTATGTGAGTAATAATATATTAGATGAGTTATTATAGCTATTTTCAAAGGTTATTCTAGGTAATTTTCTTAAAAAAAAAAAAAAACAAAGAAACCACAGAACTCTCCCCATTCATTCGCCTCCTCCACCATCAACAGAAGAGAACCTCTAAAGTCGCAGACCAGTAAATAGGACTCAGAATTGAACCTTGTTGATATGGGGCATGGTGAAGAAGTTGCGTATCTTGTAAGCCTTAAAGTCTAGACCTTTTGGCTTTGTAAACTGTTATGAATTCTCTTTTTATTTTTTAATATCGTTATGAGATTCGTCATAGTGCCCGTCTCTCTCTCTCTCTCAAACATGGAAACTGGATCTAACTGTCTACGAGGTCACTGTTGAGGCAATTTCTCTAGTTTGCAATATCGATTAAAGAACTTAAGAACTCAAAGTATAAGAATAACTCTCTTATTGCTTTAGAAAACTGACTCAAAAACTAAAGCCCTCAATCTATATTAAGTTATATCACAAGTTGATATCTCCTTATATAGAGAGGGATTAGATAACTCCTAATTCCCATAGAAATATAAATTTCCTTTTTCCTAGATAACTCCTAAGAATATTTCCTATTCCTAATATCTTGCAAGTCAAGATAACTTCAAGCTTAATCCAACAATCTCCCCTTTAAGCTTGAAGTCTTTTGTTGTTACTTCTTGGACACCGATAAGCTCCCTCATTTCTTTGAACTTAATCCTTCCAAGTGCCTTAGTCAGAATGTCTGCTTTCTGTTCTGTTCCGGGGATATGCTCAACTCCAATTTGCCCGCTTTCAACACATTCCCTTATAAAGTGATAGCGCCTTTGAATGTGCTTGCTTCGTCCATGGAAGACCGGGTTCTTGGTGAGGGCAATGGCGACTGGTTATCTGTACGAATGATAACCCTTTCACTTGGCGTACCAGTGACCTCACACAACAAGTCCTGCAACCATATAGCTTGTCGTGCAGCTTCTGTTCCTGCCATGAACTCGGCTTCGCATGATGACAACGCCACTGTTTCTTGTTTCTGAGAACACCATGTTATAGGGCTGTCTCCAAGATAAAATATGTGTCCAGAAGTACTCTTTCCATCATCTGGATCTACATTATGACTACTATCGCTGTAGCCAAGTAACTTTGGTATCTTCATGCTCGGATTTTTAAAGACAAGGCCAAGTGATGTAGTACCTTGTAGATACCGCAAGCAGTGTTTCATTGCAGCTCCATGTGACTCTCTTGGACTCTGCATGTAACGGCTTAGGACACCTACACAATACGACATATCTGGTCTTGTATGCAGCAAATATCTTAGGCAGCCCACATTCTTTCGATACCTTGTTGCATCAACTTCTTTCTCGTTCTCTGCTTTAGACAACTTCAATCTGGGTTCCATTGGTGTATGTCTCAAGTTGCAGTTCTTCATTCCTGCTTCTTCCAATATCTTCAAACTATACCTGTTTTGACATAAAGATATTCCTTCATCGCATTGGCAGACTTCAATTCCGAGATAATATGTCAATTTACCAAGATCGCTCATATCAAATTTTGAAGACATCTCGCCCTTGAACTCGATAATGACATATTTGCTTGACCCTTTAATGAACAGATCATCCACATATACAGCCACCACCAAGAGATCTTTACCGATTTCCTTTCGGTACACAGATGGTTCCTTCGAGCACTTTGTAAAATTTAGTTCCACCAATATCTGATTTAACTTATTGTTTCATGCCCTTGGTGCCTGTCTTAATCCATACAAAGCCTTATGCAACTTGTATACCTTGTCTTCTTCTCCCCTTTTCTCATAACCCTCTGGTTGAGTTACATACACAGTCTCCTTTAATTCTCCATGAATGAAGGCTGTTTTAACATCTAAATGATGTATTTCCCATCTGTTTGAAGCTGCCAAATTAATGAGGAGACGTATTGTTTCTAGTCACGCCACTGGTGCAAAAACTTCTTCAAAGTCGACACCATACTGTTGCACATAACCCTTTGCAACCAATCGAGCTTTGTGTTTATTAACACTTCCATCAGAATTTCTCTTCAGTTTAAATACCCACTTTAAGCCTATGGGTTTCACTCCAACTGGTAGATCAACAAGAGTCTAGGTTCGATTTTTTTTCAATCGATTGAAGCTCATCTTCACATGCAAGTCTCCACTCTTTTATGTCTTTTGCCTCTTTGAAATTTGCGGGTTCATCGTTTAGACACATGAGCAGCTTTTCTCCTTCCTCTTTTGCAAGTAAAACGTAATTTTCCACCAAGTATTTTGGTTTTACTGATGGTCTTGTTGATCTTCGAAGACCTGGTGCTGCAGACATGTTATCATCTTGAACCTCTGTACCATGCTCATATGAAGTCATCGATGTATCCATATCACCCTCGATGTGATTTTCGACAGACTCTGTTTCTTCTTCTGTATCGTTTTCTTGTTCGCTGTGATGCTCTGTTTTTGCTTCTTCTATAGTTGTCCTTTGGATACCACGATTTCCGAATTCTCCAAATACGATTTTGAAGCTTCCATCTTGTCTTTCTTCTGGGTTTGTCGAGCTCCAATTCCATCCCTTTGTCTCGTCGAAGATTACATCTCGGCTCACTACTATCTTCCGAGCTTGGGGATCAAGTAATCGATACGCCTTTGACCCAGGCTCTGTTCCGAGATGCACGAGCATACGAGACCTGTCATCGAGCTTCTTTAACATTGGTTTCTCCACTTTAGCGAATGCTATGCATCCAAAAAAATTGAGATGACATATGTTTGGCTTTCTTTTCCGATAAAGCTCGTATGGTGTCTTGTCCTTCAGTGCTCGTGTCGCCACTCTATTCAGCAGATACGTGCTATGTCTAATAGCCTCTCCCCAAAGAAAATTTGGTAATCGCATGTCTTTCATTATATTTCTAGCCATTCCCATCAAGGTTCTGTTTTGTCTTTCTACGACCCTGTTCTGTTGAGGCGTGTAAGGTGCAGTGAGATGTCGTTTTATACCCGATGCATCACAGAAAGAGTTAAACTCGCTTGACGTAAATTCTCCTCCCCTGTCTGTTCTAAACGTTTGAATCTTTTCTCCTGCTTCTGCTTCGACAAGACTTTTGAACCTTTTGAATCTTGAGAATGCATCGCCCTTTTCCTTGAGAAGAATTGTCCACATGTATCTGGTGAAGTCGTCAGAAGCACAAATATGTACCTATTCCCGGCTAAGGTCGTTGGTGTTATGGGACTGAAGAGATCACCGTGTATGAGCTCAAGTGCTTTATTTGCTCGATATGATGTTGCTTGTGGGAACATCTTCCTTGCGTGTTTTCCTAAGAGGCACGAACCACATACTTCCTTTTCAAAGTTCATCTTGGGAATTCCTTGAACCAGCTCTCGATTCACCATATTTTTGATCGTTTCGTAGTTTACATGTCCTAGTCTCGAGTGCCATCTCTTTGATTCGCTCATCGTTGATAAGAGCAAGCATTGTTGATCTCTGATTCCCATACGTACTTTGTAAAGTCTGTTCTTCGATCGGCTTGATTTGGCAATGTTTTCCACTTGCATCGTGCATTGTCAAACAATCTCCTCTCATCCTTATGTCACATCCAGATTATGTGGCTTGTCCGAGACTTATGATGTTACTCTTTAAATCTGGAATAAAGTATACATCTGTCATCATCCTTGGTTCTCCATTCATATCGGTGAATGAGATGGATCCTTTCCCCTTGATATCAATCCGTGAATCATCACCAAAACGCACTTTTCCGGTTATCGTCTCATCAATGTCAGAAAAGTATCTTCGATCACCTGTCATGTGATTGCTGGCGCCATTGTCAAGGTACCATAGATCTTCATCTCCTGAGTTCGTTTCATACTCGCTTGGTGTGCAGTTCCTTTCATTGAGGTAAATGACCTCATGCATCAATAGTTCGTTTGCACTTTGTGTTTCACTGTTGTTACTTTCTTGAGCTTCCTGCAGATTGAGCAATCGGTCAGGGCAATTGGAGGCGTAATGGCCAATCTTGTCGCAATGATAACATGTTATCTGCGATGTATCTCTCCATTGGTTCGAACGGCCAGGACCTCTGCCTCTTCTACCTCCGTGACCTCTTCCTCTCCAGTTGTTGTTGTAATCGCGGTTTGATTTCCTGTTTGATCTTCTGTATTTGCATACATTAATTTGTTTGTGTCTTTTTGCTCTTCACTGTCTTCGGAGATTCTATCTTCATAAGCTTTCAGCCGTCCTATAATCTCTTCAAAGGTGATAGTGTTAAGGTCCAAAACTTGCTCCAGGGAGGCCACTATATGTATATATTTCCGAGGTAAACTTTTGAGAAACTTTTTCACGAGCTTGGAGTCTTCAATGCTTACTCCGAGTGCTGCAGACTTTGATGATATCTCTGATAACTTTCCTGAAAAATCATCGATCTTCTCTGATTCCTTCATCTTCATCCGATCGAAGTCGGTCATCAATGTCTGTAGTCGAGCTTCTCTTACTCTTTCTGCTCCAACGTATCTTGTTTTAACTGTCCCAAACTTTCTTTGCTGTATCAAGTTCACCGACCTGGAGGACAAGCGATTCTGGTATTGATTGAAACAATAGACCCATGGCTAGGTTATTCTTCTCGTCGTCCGCTGATCCTGGTTCTACCGATTCCCATACTTTGTGTACCTTGAGACAGACTCTCATCCGCATAGCCCATACCGTATAGTTGGTTGTGGTAAGCATAAGGCACTGAATGGAGGAAGAGCTTCCTCCCTCCTTGGATTTTTCCGTCGCAGGTACTAAGTCTCCCATGGCTGAATCTTCGTAAATTTTGATAAGGCTCTGATACCAAATCTAGTTTGCAATATCGATTAAAGAACTTAAGAACTCAAAGTATAAGAATAACTCTCTTATTGCTTTAGAAAACTGACTCAAAAACTAAAGCCCTCAATCTATATTAAGTTATATCACAAGTTGATATCTCCTTATATAGAGAGGGATTAGATAACTCCTAATTCCCATAGAAATATAAATTTCCTTTTTCCTAGATAACTCCTAAGAATATTTCCTATTCCTAATATCTTGCAAGTCAAGATAACTTCAAGCTTAATCCAACAATTTCGAGCTTTGTCTGAATGTTCCTCTTTCTCCAGAGTGTTGTACTCTGCTGCATACTTGTTGGTTGCAGTTTTTTTTTTTGTAAAGGATCTGGATATATGTTTAATTAGTGGATCTCAAATCTCCATGTTTCAGGTACCACAAGGGAAGGGGTCTGTCTCTAATCCAGGCTGTGTGGCTTCACTGAATTGTCTTCCAGATGAGCTTCTTGACAAAATCTTGTCCTTAATTCCCATTAAAGAAGCGGCTTCAACTTCTGTTCTCTCCAAGAGATGGAGGACACTGTTTGCTGTCCGGCATGATCTCGATTTTGACGATTCCATCTATTGGTACCACGAAGAGGGTAAACGTGATAGGGAAGACATTCGAAAGAGTTTCAGGGATTTTGTGGATTGAGTATTGGCTTTGCAAGGCGGTGACCCTATAAAAAAGTTCTCACTTAAATGTGAGGATGGAGATGACGTAGCTCAAGTTGACCGCTGGATATGTAATGCCCTGGAACGCGGTTTCTGAGCTTCACCTAGGCATAACATCAAAATCTGAGGCGCGGTGCCTTTTCCCATCAAGAGTCTTCAACAGCACAACACTGGTTAAGCTCTCATTGGGAACCAAATTCAGCATCGATAGTTTCCCTTCAGATACATCTCTCCCAGCACTCAAGGTTCTCTTCCTTGATACAATTTGGTTTGAAGTGGAAGAATTCTCTGACGTGTTTCTCGCTGCTTGCCCTGTACTTGAGGACTTGACCATACATCACAAGTTTTTTTCAGGAATGCCAGACGGCATATTTAGCAAAACCATTAAGAGGCTCTCGCTTACCTATGATTGTCCTTGTTGTGCTGATTGGTGTAGCTATGTTGAACTTGACACGCCGAGTGTTGTCGACTTGTAGTATTCTGTTTATGCTCTGCGTTTGTATCCACATTTTACTTTGGATTCACTTGTCAATGCTACACTGGACCTTCATTTCTTGAAACATACAACCCATGGGCCCCAACTTGACCCGGATGTGACGGATCTCATCTGGGGGATACGCAACATCAAGACACTTCACTTGACTTCTTCTGCTGTTGAGGTCAGTTTTCAGTGTATAGTCTCATCATCTTTTTTTTTTTTGGGAAACAGGAAAAACATTCTTTGTGTGTGTGTGTATGTGTTTCAGGTGATTTCTGTATGCTGCAAACGTGGACTACCGGTGTTCAACAACCTCATTGAGTTAGTGTTTTCCAGTTGCAAAAAAAGTGGTTGGAAAGTGCTTCTGCCACTTCTGCTGGAACATTCTCCAAACCTAGAAACTCTGGTTCTCTCGGTATGAAGAAGCAAACCCTGAACAAATCTATATGACTGTGGCATGAAATTAAAATTAGTCTCTCGTCTTGATGGTGCAGGGTCTCGATAGTTTGCGTGCATCTGTGGGGATTCACATTCCCCCGAATAACCAAGTAAAGATGTTGCGTATCATGCATTATCAAGGATGTGCAAACGAGCTGAAACAGATTAGCCATTTCTTACTGAAAATGGAGTGTCTTGAAGTGGTGAGAATTCACGCTGCACCTGCAATAATCGATGACCCCAACAAGGTGAAACAACTCACAGATGATCTGCAGAAGCTTCCCGCAGCTTCAACCAAACTCAAGATGCAAATCATGTGATCGATGATCATCATCATCATCCATGGGTTGTTGTATTTCTTCAACAGTCCAATTTATGATTTATTTACTGCTGTGCAAATTATAAAAAACGACTTATTAGATTGCCTCATGCTTTAGGGGCTTCTGAGGTATTTCGCTCCATAAGCTATGGCTTCTTGTAAGAAACGGCGGTTAATTTATCAGTCAGCATCTTCTATTAAACATAGTGATAGTGTTCGTAATATTGTATTCTCCCGTGTTCTTTATTTAAGTTTGGCACTGGCTTCCTTTCACGTCCCCTGCGGCCAAAGTCTATGAGTTTCAGAGAGAAGGGATTGATTGGTAAATCCCTCTCCCTTTATCTGGATGTATGTGTGTGTGTGTTTATACAATATCAGTTCATGGGTTTTTTCTAAGTTAATTCAGTCGTCCACTTTTTAATGATTTTGGTAGCTCCGAGACCCTAAAGTTTGCAGCATTCTTTTTCTTTCAAATTCCTCACTTGCCATCTCATTTTAAATATGTCTAGAGAGGGAAGAGTTTAGAAGTTGTTTGGCTTGTTAGTAAGAAACTTTGTATCCTGCCATGGAAAACAAAAGAAGATTGTACAAAAGATGTTCTTTAGATGGAATTCCACTGAGACATTTGTTCTTAGATATCTTAAATCTTGCAGGCAAAGGTATTTGGAAAAGCAAGAGATAGATATGAAAATAGTGCATGGAGATGATGATTTTCATATTCATTTAATTGGTTATGATAAAAAAAAAAAGACACTATGAATTGCCTTTATCAAATAAAATTGCAGCTTTAATTGTTGGATATTTTAATTCAACAATGGGAGAAAGATGTTGATATGATCTTCCCAAAGATCGGCACAAAGAGGCTTGAGAAAGAGATAGATAGAAACAGAAGGTGCGGAATAGACTTCTGTTCTGAGAGATAAATCGATAAAGATGTTGCTAAGCAACGAATCGATCACAAAAGAGAGATAAGAGAGGATAAAGATGTTGCACAAAGCAACGAGTCACTCTCTGAGATAGATGAGAAATGATAAAGATGTTGCACAACACAACGAGTCACTCTCAAAAGATAAAGAGAAGTTTCTCACAGTTTTGATAAGAGAAAGAGTTTTTGATAAAAAGAGTTTGATTAATTTTTGGTGATCCAATCCAGGATGATTATTTCTGGGATCTTACATGAGTTTATAAAGAAATAAAAGTGCCAAAAACAAAGCAAGGCACGAAATTCTCAAAGCATTAAAGTGCAAAGACTAGAAATAATGACTAAGGTAGAATAACTCTTCATCTCCACTTGCCATGACCTTTAGGCTTCCTTTGGACGAAATTTGATTGTTCTTCTGGCTGGGCATAAGTCTTGAATCAACAAACTGGGCTTGAAGAGAAGTGATCACCATTGCCTCCTTAAAAACCTTCCTTTGGAAAACCCATTGGGACAAAACCAAAGGTAAGGGAAAAAGAGTACAACTGGGACACTTAGCCATTTGTTAATCTTCTTGGATTTCTTTTACAACTAGAGTAGTTGTAAACACCTCTTCTTCCTCCTGATCCAAGTGTCTTGGCCGAATATAGTTTTGAACAAGTATTCCTCTATTTGTTTCCTTGAGCTTCTCGGCATTAACTCGGGTCTTAGTACCATCTGGATCAAACAATTCCTCATTCTCTAGCTCATCCACTGGTACAAGATCTGGTTCAGGCTCTGGTGCAAGATCTTCTTTCTTGTGGCTGGCCATGATCATATCATCCTCCCCCAGTTGAAAAGGATTTGTCCTCAAATCAGGACCATCTTTTGCAGTAGTGGCTTTATCTCGAAGCTCCTTGAGTGCAAGACTCTTATTAGTGAAGATAAGACCTTCGGATGGGTTTCTCAAAGGAAAGATGCAATCGATTTTCCCAAACTGAATCATGTTCCACCCACTCTCTTCCAAAGGCTCATCGGGTTTGAGAAGATGGTCCTCATAGTCCTGTACAACAAGAGATCTTCTACTCGGCAGCTCCGGTGCATCATAACTCAAAAGAATTTCTTTGTAAACAGGCTTATGACCAAGTGATGGAGAGATTAGAGTTCTTTCGACATTACCAGATTTAGCAAGGAAGTTGTTTCGCTTGTGGATGTTGTCCTCAGACTTTTTCCCTTTCCTCTTTTCATCTTGATAAATCTCGAAGGGTGTCATTGGAACAAGAGTGTGCTTCCTGCCTTTGAACTCAAAAGAATACTTGTTGGTTGAGCCATCATGAGTCACTCGTCTATCATACTGCCATGGCCTTCCCAACAGGATGTGACTTGCTTCCATAGGTAGAACATCACACAGAACTTTGTCCTCATACTTTCCAAGGGTTAGAGAAACCGTTACTTGGTTGTTCACTCGCATTGCACCTTTATCATTGAGCCAATGCAGATTGTACGGCTTGGGGTGCTTCTTCACAGTCAAGCCAAGCTTATTAACCATGTATTCGCTTGCTACATTGGTGCAGCTTCCTCCATCGATGATGAGATTGCACACCTTGCCTTGGACATGACATCTTGTGTGAAACAGGTTCTGTCTTTGTGCTTCCTCATCTTCCTTAGATTGCACGTTTAGTATCTTTTTCATCATCAAAAGATCTCCTGTAGCAGCATACTCTTCTTGCTCTTCTACTGAATCAGAGATCTCTTTTTCATCTGCTGATTCGTACTTTCCATTTTCTAAGAGAACCAGAACTCTCTTGTTTGGACATTCACTAGCAATGTGTCCTCTTCCTTGACACTTGAAGCAGACTATCTCACGAGCTCTAGTAGTTGATGCTTCGGTTTTGACCTTGAAGTCTGGTTTAGCAGGGACTGATTTAGTAGACACCACAAACTCAGCACTTGGTTTTTCTTCTTTAGCAAAGCTTGGTTTAGCCGTAGATGAACTAACTCCAAAAGTTGATCTAGATCCTCTTCGCTTAAGCTGTTGTTCAACCAAAATAGCTTTGTGATATATCTCCTCTAGATCAGCATAGCTTTGCATCTCCACTCTGTCTTGAACTTCTCGGTTTAGCCCACTCAAAAACCTAGCGATGGTTGCTTCTTGATCTTCTTCAATACCAGCCTTGATCATCAGAGATTCCATTTCTTGGAAATAATCTTCTACACTGCTGTTCCCTTGAGTCAACCGCCTAAGTCTCTGGTGTAGCTCCCGGTGATGGTGACTAGGGACAAAGTGTTTTCTCATGAGTGCTTTCAACTCATCCCAAGTATCAACAGGCGGATCTCTATTGCGTTTGCGGCTTGTTGTGATCTGATCCCACCAGTTTATAGCATAGCCATAAAACTCTGTATCAGCTAACTTCACCATCTTGAGATCTGAATACTCTTGACAATCATAGATCATCTCGACCTTCTTCTCCCACTCCAGGTAAGCGTCTGGATCATTCTTGCCATGAAAAGGAGGAACTTTCAATTTCATGCCTCTCATATCATCATCAACACGTTCTCTTGCTCCTCTCCCACGTCTTGGACTGCCTTGTGAAGAAATATCATCACCAACATCGTTTCTAGGCTGTCTCTGCTGGACTGGCACTCCATTTGCATTTTCTTCTTGAATTCTCCTTGGATTAGGCTCTCCTTGTAGTTGATCAATCCGTTGATGTATCTCTTCTACTTGAGTTTTCATCATCTGCTCCAACCGAGCCGCCAATGCTTCCATCAGAAGTTTGTTGTTATCGTTGCTGCTGCTGGTTTCATCTTGATGATCATCCATCTTTGACCTCCAGAAAAACACAAACAGATCAAGCTTCTATGTGTGCTCTGATACCAACTGATGTGATCTTCCCAAAGATCGGCACAAAGAGGCTTGAGAAAGAGATAGATAGAAACAGAAGGTGCGGAATAGACTTCTGTTCTGAGAGATAAATCGATAAAGATGTTGCTAAGCAACAAATCGATCACAAAAGAGAGATAAGAGAGGATAAAGATGTTGCACAAAGCAACAAGTCACTCTCTGAGATAGATGAGAAATGATAAAGATGTTGCACAACACAACGAGTCACTCTCAAAAGTTAAAGAGAAGTTTCTCACAGTTTTGATAAGAGAAAGAGTTTTTGATAAAAAGAGTTTGATTAATTTTTGGTGATCCAATCCAGGATGATTATTTCTGGGATCTTACATGAGTTTATAAAGAAATAAAAGTGCCAAAAACAAAGCAAGGCACGAAATTCTCAAAGCATTAAAGTGCAAAGACTAGAAATAATGACTAAGGTTGAATAACTCTTCATCTCCACTTACCATGACCTTTAGGCTTCCTTTGGACGAAATTTGATTGTTCTTCTGGCTGGGCATAAGTCTTGAATCAACAAACTGGGCTTGAAGAGAAGTGATCACCATTGCCTCCTTAAAAACCTTCCTTTGGAAAACCCATTGGGACAAAACCAAAGGTAAGGGAAAAAGAGTACAACTGGGACACTTAGCCATTTGTTGATCTTCTTGGATTTCTTTTACAACTAGAGTAGTTGTAAACACCTCTTCTTCCTCCTGATCCAAGTGTCTTGGCCGAATATAGTTTTGAACAAGTATTCCTCTATTTGTTTCCTTGAGCTTCTCGGCATTAACTCGGGTCTTAGTACCATCTGGATCAAACAATGCCTCATTCTCTAGCTCATCCACTGGTACAAGATCTGGTTCAGGCTCTGGTGCAAGATCTTCTTTCTTGTGGCTGGCCATGATCATATCAGATGTTATTTTCAACTTCATTCAGGAGAGATAGAATTTGCAGCTTTAAGTTTTTACAAATATTTTGCACTGTTAATTTCCTTAGAATTTTGAGACTAGTTTTCTTCATGTTCTTGATCCTTTACACTAATAATTTGTTCTGTTTCTTCGCCACTCTCTGTTTCAATCGAATCTTCATCCCAAGTCTAAGTTCCTTTATCCAATAAAAATGGTTTCATCTTCTGTGACGTTCTGTTACTCTGACTTGGCTTCTTGAAACCAACGGATCTCACAGGACGAGGCGGTAATGGACGACATGATCTGACTCAAAC